CTTCATTAGTATTTTCCTTTTTTGAACTTTAATTCTTAAAATGTTAATTTCTAAGGGAACCACTATATTGGAATTACTTTGGTTTTGACCTTTACCCTTGCCTGCATGAATGACGAAAACACGATTGAATAATTGGAGAGTTAGGTTTGGAGGCAACTTCCCCTTGATAAGTCTGTCTCCTGCCTACTCAACGGTCATTCACATATGCATTTTTTTTAAAAAAATGTTTAATTTTAATTTATTAAATTAGTAAATTTATTTTCATGATTGATTTTGCATTTGATTTGCTTATTGCTTCTGATTTAAATGATATTGTAGATTATTTTGAGTATTAAATCTTTTATATGTTTGCACATTGTTTTAAAAATTATTTTGGCTTTTTTCCTTTTTTCAGGATTTAAATTTGCTTTTTTACTTTTATATGTATTTGTTAAAAATTAAATTTTAATTTATTTAAATTTAACATACATATATACATGCATACATGAACACGTACATCTTGACACACATGCTTACATGCATTCATTTCTGAATCTGGTCCCAATAACAGCTGAGTACCATATTGCTTATGCTGATTGATTTATATGGCACGTAAAAGTCTATTATTGCTTACATCCTTCAGAGACCCTTTAACTTCCTTCTGACTAAATGGTATTTACACCAATATTTTGAATAAAAGTATTACACACAGAAATCTACTTCTCAGACTGGTTCTGTAAGAGTACATTTTCAAGAAATGCAATTTGTTATTGGATATAATAATTCAGATTGCCGAGTTATGTGAACTTAATAGTTTTTCTGTAAGAGATGCTCAGTAGAATATTTTTGGATTTTTGCAACTATCATTAAGAGGTGTAATGAAATTTTGTAATACATAGTACATAAACTTCAGTCTTCTAAAAATATTACATAAAATTTCATTTAGTAACACTTTTTTAAATTTTTACATTTTGCTATTTATACCATTTTATCTTTAAAAAGTACAAACCAGCACTCTTACAATTAAAATTTAGCTGTAAAAATCTCATTAGTTAGATATTTTTATCCAGAGAAGAAATATGAAATATTTTTATAATTCTTATTTATTTTCATTTTTAATTTTTAGTAATAATTTTTTTTTTTTTTTTTTTGAATGTTAGACTATAAGGTATAGTGGTTAGAGTAGAAGAGTACCCCTTGTATTATTGCAAAGTTGTTTCATTTATTGCCTAGTGGCAGTTTATTTATGGTAGCTTGAGTAGTTGAATATTATGGAAACCCTATTATGATGTCAGTTGCATGATTACGGTGAATTTGTAAAGGCCTGTCATGTGTGTTGGATACGAAGTACCTTGCTTGTTTTCTGCTTTAGAGGGTAAAATGGCTGAATGTGCTAAGATTAATTTGAAGTTTCTGTACAATTTGGAAAGAAAGGGAAAAAAAGTATTACTTCACTGGTGTGTAAATGAGGTTTACTTAGTAGACATTATTAAGTGTCCTGTTTGTAGGAATGTGCCTATGGTCGGATGATAGGGCACTACGGAAGATATTTTTTACTCCTATTTGGTGAACTATGTGGCTATGTCAGTATACAGATTCTAGTTCAGATAATTTTAGGAAGTTTTTGGATGGTGTTAATTCGTAAATAAAGTAAGTGGATACTTCCTTTGTCTAGTGCAAAGATGAATTTCCTTTTTTTATGTTATTACATTGATTTAAAATAGTTTATTCAGATTATGTATTTTTTGTTGGTTGCTCCCTTGACTTTAAGTGAATATAATTCGATGTGTACATGGACAAAGTCAAGGGAGTGTGCAACGCCTAGTTTGTGCAGTTCTCTGATGTTTTTTTAAGTGAAAATAGGTCAATGTGCACATGGATAAAGTCAAGGGAGTGCACAATGCCAAGTTTTGTGCAATTCTGAGATTTTGTTTTTAAAAGTGAAAATAGGTCGATGTGTACACGGATAGTGAGTTAATGCAATTCTTCATCTTGTTATTTTGGCTTTGTGTAGCACCAATTTTCACTAAGGAGTACCCTTAAATATACTTTTACCGATATAATTTGCAGATAGTTCCCTCCCCCAAAATGTTTCCTTTCTGCGAGGAGTGTAGTGAAGTATTATGGATTTATTAGTTTCTTATCTGACAATATTATGCTCTTATTATAATTCCTTTCCAATAATTGTCCTCACATGCTCCTTCCCCCATGCTGTTTTTGACAACTCTAAAAAATTTATACAATGTTCAGGTTTCATGTTAAACATGTCTCAGTACTAGTAATAATAGTTTTAAGACTTCAGAGTTCCGCCCCCCCATTTCTTTTTCTTTATTCAACATGTCTTATGACAGCCAAATTCGTCAGCTTGCATTGGGCACAACACTTTAAGATCCTTTGTAACATTTTAGCTTGCTTCCTAGGTTAGTTTTATCAGTATTTTTGGGTAAACTGGTTTTGAATCATGAATGTCTTCTCTCAAGTCTTTGAAATGTCTGTTCTACATTAAAATTAGTAGATATGGTAGATAATATTACTTCTTCAGTACTTGAGCTTATGTGTCTGGGAAAGTTTAAAACAAAATTTAACACCCATGTATTACTCCATTCTAATTTAACAATAATGTGCTTTTCTGTGCAAAGTGCCACATCTACAATTATTGGCAAAGCTGATCATTGATTTAAAATACAGTTAAATCTTCACAAACAACCTATTTTAAAAAAGACACTCTATATATCAAGAGAAACTAAATGTGCGAGATGATCATTCTTTTATATGCGTAATAATAAATTTTTAATTTAAAATTGGAAAAAAGAAAATATCAAAACATTCTTTTATAGGAAAAAACATTTTTTTTTTTTCATAATACGGCATATCGAAACGATCACAAACAGCCTGGCTTTACCTTTAGTCATAACTAGCAGAATATACACATAAAACCAGTGTATAGTAAAGCAAAGCTCAGTTGATCTTTAGATTATGGTAACTTGGCGATTTTTTGGCGACCAACTCTCTTCTATTTTTTTTTTCCCGCCGCCTTTTTGTCTACACACGAAGTAAAGACATGTTTCTTTCTTTTTATCACTGACACTTCTTCCACAATCTACTAGCCGAATTACACTTATGCTAGAAATTTTATCTAACACAATGCTTAATCCATGACATATTCACTGCAAATTGGGAAAAGTGCACAATACCAACCCCTTCGCGTTTTTAAAATAACACATACACTAAACCATGTACACATCGACTTATTAAAAAAATCCCCAGAATTGCACAAAATGGCATTGCGCACTCTTCACCATCCATGTAACTGTTTTTTTTCTCATAAATTAGAAAAATTCACGAAAATGCATGACAATTTTCTGAATCTTAAACCCCGTTAAGGAACATATATGAAATTACCTAATAACGAAAAAGTATACCCTTTCCAATATAACATTTCCACGTAATAAAATAAATAAAATATCCAAAACTTTTACCTCTAAATTATCTATTATTAACGTCACCACGAATTCATACCACAAACATTACAAATTACTTAGTGTCAAATATTAAATTATTCCTGCACGTTTACTTCAACTAACTAAACCAAATTCCTACAACATAAAATTCACAAAATAACTATCATTTAATTAAATATAATTAAATTCAAAAACTACTTAAAATAAATCACTTCATTAAATTAATAAAAATTCTTACAATTCTAATTACTTTAAACTAAATGAATTGCTAATACAATTTTCCCCTATACCAAATTACTACTTTACTTCCACCTTACATTTAGAACAATGATAAAAATAATATCCTCAAATAATTAAAATACTAACTTCTAATCTCTTCAGAATCCTTCTTACATGGTGGATACACTTTAATTATGGATTCAATAAAATTATTGAACGATTTTCCCTTCCTTACACTCCGTTTCACAAATGTCTATTTTCACACAGATTTCTTGCACTGCCATTCAAACTTATCATAATTCCTTCCTTCACACAATCTCATTTCATTCCCACATTTTGGACATTCATCTATCCGCAATTAACTTATACTATGCACCATTCAACCAATTCTTTTGAATTACACACAACGCAATTAATCTAGAATTCACTTAGACAGCGCATACAATCCAAAATTATTCAACCCTACTTCACACAACACACATGAAGCTTAATACAAAATAATATACAGCCACAGATATGTTTCCAATTCCCCCCTTTTCCGATTAAAGAACCGTAATCGTCCATTAATATCACGACATATCCCATGATCTCTCATTTTCCCCTCACACAAAAATGCGTACGAACTGATACTGCTTCACATTACCAAAGTCCCAGGTAGTAACCTTTATCGCCTCCAAAATGTCGCCAAACTACCAGCTACCATATCCTAAAGATCAGCCCAAAGCTCTTCCGAAATCAACAGCAATCTCAGATGTATGGCCAAAAGTAAAGTATATGTTAAAAATAAGTGTTATAATGACAACATTTACATACAAGAAATATATTTAATTTTGTTATTTTCATGCATTTTCTACTTAGCTTTTTTTTTTTTTAACCATGGACTGCTTGTCAGTTCCCTTCATGAAAGTTGCTATAATATATCAAATGCCAAAAGAAAAAAAACTTCTCAAATATTAGGCTGAAAAATATGTTTACTATATGTATTTAGATACAGTTCGCATATCTTGATTACATCTAAATTTTAAAATAATTATATTGAAAATTAACATAATTTGAGATTATTCTCAAATCAAAATTAATAACATGTTACCTATTGAGAAATAAATCACTCAATATGTCACTAAATATGTATTAAAAGTGAAGATACTACTGATATTTTAGTTTGATTCCTAATGCATTTAATACGCAAAATTTTATTGTGTTACAAAATGTATTTGTCATATCACCATATCATACAAAGAAAAATTAAGAAACAAACTTTAATGATATTAGCAGTACCCAAACTGCAAATTCTAAGTATTACATTCTTAAAGATTTAATATGCAATAAAAGACACCCAAATACTTAAAAAAATTTATTGAAGCTGAAGTTTCAGAGGACAAATGAAATGAGTAGAACTTCACAGATGAAAAAGAATACAACATTTAGCATTCAAATTTATAGTTCCTATTAACAAACTAAAACAAAAATGTTCCATAAGAAATCTTACTTTTTGGAGACACCATCATCAGCCTTGTTTTCGGAACCTGAACTACTTTCTATAGTCACAGGAATTTCCTTTGCTTCCAGTGCAGGTAACTGCGCTTCAATAGTAAGTACACCATCTGTTAATGATGACCTAATGGTATCTACATCCACTTCCTTGGGCAAAGTGTAATGGTAACTGTGCTCATGCTCATACCGTGAACCATCATCTCGTTTTTCACTTCTTCGAGCAGTTACAGTAAGCTCTTGATCCTTCAAGGTTATCTTAATATCTTCTGGTGCCATACCTTGCATATCCATCTCCACTTTATATCTTCTGCCATCAGCATCTGAAGATATTACTGGAATTTCTCTTGCACGACCCCACTCAAATGGTGAAAACAACTGCGGAATTCTGAAGGGACTAGCCCGTTGGATATTGCTAAAAAGTTGGTTCATCTCTCGGTCCATATCTCGTACGCTATCTTCAAGCGCTTGCACAGCAGACGAAAGCTCCGAAAATGCATTCCGGCGTCTCCAGTAATATCGTACACCAATATTATTTTCCGGACATAAAGATCCACAGAACTTCGATACAAAATTACGGACGAACGGAGCACTTCGCCTTATTAAGATTGACATGCTGCTATTTATCGTATTCCCTTTGTCACCTTAAATGTACCTTTAAGTAACGAAAATATTAGCAAATAAGTTCACAACAACGATAATAGGTTCAAGAATAAAAAATTTCCAAACGCATTCAACAACATAAGTTTCAAATACCACAAATTCTTCGCGGCGGGTTTTTATCCAATCGCTTGTCTGACGAAACCCGAAACGAAATCTCTATCATACATTCGAGAAAGGTCGAGACTTTTAATTTTCGATTACGTCACCGGTGATGCTCGTGTCTACGCATCCGACGTCCACAGTCAGCAGCCGATCGTCTTGCATAGTTTATGTAGACCTTCCGTAAGCAGTTCTGTAGTAAATCCAAGATTGAGCTGTAGTAGGTCAATAGCAAACCAATTAGAGAATTGTGCACTGTTTTTTAATGACGATTGTGTCATACTTTTGTTAAATATCTTGTAAGACAAAAAAAAAGGAAAAAAAAAAAAAAGACAAGTTTAACTAAAAGATCTGGCAATAACTTTTAGTAAATAAAATCGAATTAAAAATACCGTAAACAAAAGTACTACGATGTGAAGTAGTTGTTTAGTGTAATTGCATGGCGCGTTTTCCTTAAATTTATCCAGCATATTCATTATTAAAAGTCAAAACTATTCTTAAAAATTATACTGAAATGGCGTGCATTCTTCACTTAATATAATACAGATACATGCAAATAAAGAGCGTAGAATATAAAGTATATTACTATAGATATTTTCCTACTATTGATCATAATGTTTCACTCTTCTTATTTTTAGAGTAATTAAGATGTGTATGTAATATATATAACTTACATATATGTGTATATATGCATTTTAAGATGTTGATAAGTATTTCATGGCATTTTCACTTTTAAAATAACTGAATTTAATCCTTAAAATAAATATACCACTCTTTAGCCATTGAAATAAATACATAAGTTCAAATAGTAGGTATGTTCTTATTTATTTATTTTAGGTGGAAATGCATGTGATCTTTAACTTGAATGTATAATTTTAACATTAGTAATCGTCCAACAAATATAAATTTAGAAGTCAAACAACGAAAATCAACGTTATATTTGCAAATTTTCACAGGACTAGTTTTAATGGTTCAGTAAAACTATTGAAACTAGCCCTGTGCAAATTTGCAAATATAATGCTGATTTCTGTTGTTTGACTTCTAAATTAATATTAAGTAGTGTTATTTCAAATACAGTGGAACCTCGAGTTATGAGCAACTGTATATACAAGAAATTCGAGATACGAGTACAAAGTAAGAGTGAAAAATTCATCTCTAAGTATGAGCATTGACTCGAGCAATGAGCCAGGCTGTTGATAAACCTGGCATGTTTCCCGATCTGGCTCAACATGGGGAATACCCTTGTCAAATCACTCAGTGTTCTTTGATCTACATGTCTGTGTGCTAGTGAGTTAATTGTTTTTTACATTTAACGTGAAAATAATTATTTCACGATGCCTCCCAAGGAGATTACTGTAAAGAATCTGCACTATTCTGAAGTAAAAGGAAAAAAATTAAGAAACTTGATGTGGCCAAAGGAATTACCATTATTTCCAAACACCATCTAAAACTCCTAGATGATGTTGAGAAGCTGTTGTGCGGATTAACGAGAAGCAGTTGAAAGATGATTTGGTGTCGGAAGCTATCATTTGCACTAAGGCTAAGAATCTGTATTTGGACCTTCTCCGAAAAACTGAAGGTACGTTGACTGAATATGAGGTGGCAAGGAGATTTTTGGGGGTGTGGAACAGATTCACTGGATTTCCTTTATTTTCAATGGGGAAATTTGTTTCTAGACACGAGAAATTCGCTATACAAATATACATATGCAAATACATACGAGTATGCATATACAAATTCTTATATGTGCATACATTTTATGCCCATTGGCTTTTCGATGTTAAATTATAAATAATATAAAATAAATTTTTGATATAATATTATTTATTTAATGTAAATTTGCATCATGATGAACAATGTGTTCAAATTTCTTATCATAACTGCAGTTGTGTTTAACTAAAAACCATAGAAATGACTGCATTTATACTCCTTTGAAAATTTTCCATTTTTCATAGAAACTTTTGCAGATAATGCATTATTTTCTCACGAGAGAGACAGAGGTCAAGCGGCTAGGTAGGTATGCCTACCTCCATGGACAGTCCTCCCGAGTTCTGAATGAGCTTCTTGACTACATAGTCATCTAGAAATATAAGCTTTTTCTAATTAAAAATTGATAATCAACCAAAATTGTTTATAACAATTAGCCTAACTGCGTAATAACATATTCATCAATCCAGTGTACTTCAAAATAACAAATCCAAAAAGAATGTGACATACATTCTCCTATCCGTTTATCTTTTCCTATTCTTATAAATTATGCTAAGATTTATAGAAAATGCAGATAACTTTGCTTTCTATGAGAAAATCCCCTGAGAAAACATGATGTGCTTGCAAAATGTCACATATCACTGATCATTTTACAAATGCTGCTCACTTTCTGAGCTAAGAGAGTGGTTGTCATAGAAACCTTTCTGTTTGATACTCTTCCCATGGATCTTTTTATTAACCTGTTAATGAGCATATGGCATAAATAATTTTCTGCACTGTTCAAGTGAGTTTGGCAGCACTACACGCAAAGATTATCAGTGATGATTATAAATTAAATATGTATTCATTGGCTCTAAAATAATGCTTGTTGTGTTCAGTATTCAGATCTCGTGTGTTCAATGTAGCTTGCATTTGTATCATGTATGGTTTTTCTTCAGTTCTTGACAAAAATCCTTACTGCTATTTCATATTTGTAAAACTGGTAAATGTAAGCACTTCATAATAATGTTTAATTAGCTTTCCTGAATGAAATAACATTTCAATTTAATTATAATTTGAAAAATTACTGTATTATTAACATTTTCATTTTGTCTAAAATCCAGCCCAGAGTAAAAGCAATACTATTGCATATTTATGCTGCATATCATTTTTCGGTTCTCTTTCACATTATTAGTGTAATTCTTGTCCAAGTGACACATATAAAATAGTCAGTTATCTTCCATGTTACTGCTATGCACAGATTCCATGAGAAAATCCCCTGAGAGAACATGATGTGCTTGGAAAATGAACAGATTTAACACATATCACTGATCACTTTACAAATGCTGCTCACTTTCTGAGCTAAGAGAGTGGTATTCAGATGGCTGAGAAAGTGGAGGATGTCTGGGGAATTAATAAATGATTTTCCAGAAATTAAAATAACATGATGGAAATTTTAACTAATCAAGATTTTTTCTTATTTATTGTGACTTTTGTCATCAGTGTTATCAGTCACATTAGCCAGTTATCGTATTACCTTAATTACCAAAAATTTAGAGCTGGTAGAAAAATGAGAATTAGGGACTGAGAGATTATAAAGAGCAATAGAGAAATTAGGAGAGGGGGGGATGTTTATGCATCTGCATTGTACATACGGACAACAGTTAAATTTTATGCACTGTATGTTCCACCATGGCACTTGTCACCTTTCATTTCAAAGGTATGACTTGAGAAAAGATTATATAAAAGTCCAGTTTCATCCATATTATAGATATTACACAAGACATACTTTTCTCTCGCTTAGTCGGATTCATGCGACCAGTTGTTTGTACCTGCTTCATCAATTTTATTTGCTTCACCACAGATCACTAATGATGGAATTGAGTGTCCCTTCTGGAAGCGGTACAGCCAACCAGCAGAGCAACGATGTCTAAATGTCTAGTATCTGAATTTTTTTAGCAATCTTGTTTGTTTCGACTGAATTATAGGTCCACTTAGAGATACATTCAAAGCATGCATATGACTGAACCATCCTTGAAGGAAAGATTCAACATCTTCTTACTTAGCACTACAAAGTCATTTAAATTTTCCCGGAACCCAATGGGCAGTAGCCTTAATAATTTTTTTCAAGTATTGTGCATAATTTTAGATTTGGCAGTTCCATACCTTACAACAATTGTACTTTTCTTCAGTATACCAATGTCTGCTTTCTTTAGGGATTTTAGTTTTATTTTCATATCTATACCATCTTCTTCTGGGATATGAATCACTCTCTTACTGCCTTAATTTTCCGGCCATGAATCACTGGCGTACTGCTTTTCTTTACTTGCTTAATTTAGCATTAGTTGTTACATTCAGAAAGCGGTCAGAGTGTGCTGAAGAGTATCACTAGAACTTTCGGAGAATAAAAGTCATGCTGGTACATGCCAAAAATTCATATGTAACTAAACTACTATCTATGTAAATATTTTACTTGTAAATTAAATTCATTTGAATTTGAATTGGAATTATTCATTTTGTGTGCCGTGTCCTACTTAGTTATAGGAAGAAGACAAGATACTAACTTGTCCTGGTAAACATTGAAAGAACATGGTAAATAATTTTACCTGATTAATTTAGAATTATTCAAGATTTAACATTAGTCATACTATCTAATGTTTAAAGACATCAAAGCACATCTGCACATATGTACACTGCACACACAAAAAAGGGGCACTTCTATATCTCCTATATCTCCCATTCTACTGAACCGATTGACGAAATTCAACTTGCGTTTTTCATGTCTCGAAAGTGTGACTTCGAATATATATTCAATTTATGTATAGTATTGTTCTAATATAGGTATTTTGGCACAAAATCGAACTTTTTCCGAAATGACATGCCAGTTTGTTTCAGTATTTCGATTCTAAGACTCACATCATGCCTAAATATTAAATTTTGTAAAATTTGATGTGAAATTTGTGGAGAAATTAAAAAATTTATCTTGCAGCATTTTTTCCCAGTTTGCGCCAAGAATAATTCATTTGGCAAACTTCTTAATATATGGCAACCTAATTCCTTTCCCTTTGCGGAAAGAAAGTCACATTGTTCCTACTTTCAAATCCTACTTTAACAAAGTGCCTAAACCACATTTGATGTTATTATGACTTTCAACAAATATGCCAAATTTCAAAACGTGCCAATATGAAAATTCACATATGTCTTCGGAAATTTTGAATAAAGAACTCATAATTTTTTGCAGGTATGCTTAGAAATACATCTACTTTAAGTTGATGGTAAAAATTTTGTAGATTATAATTGAAAATATTTTTTAAAAAATTTATTTATTTAGCAATACAAATTTTAAAAATAAATCATAAAATATGAGCAAATTTTATTTGAAATGAACCTAAATTTCGAAATATGAAAGGAATAGTCAAATAGTTTAATAAAAAATGAGATATTAATAAATATGTACCAAATTCAATTAACATTGAGAAGATAAAATTTTGAGAGCTAAATTTTTAAAAATTACTCGTGGGATTTTTTACAAAACATGGTAGTTTAGCATAATTTGAGTTGTAGGATTGAAATATGGAAAAAAATTGGTATGTTATTTCAGAAAAAGTCCAATTTTGTGTCAGAATACCTAAATTAGAACAATGCTATATATAAATCTAATACATATCCCAAGTCGCACTTTTAAGACATGAAAAATGCAATTTGAATTTCATCAATATTGGCCCAGTAGAACGGAAAGGAAATACAGTCAAAAGTCGTTAATTCGGAATGATCTATAATCCGGACATCAAAACTAAAAACTTTCTGCTCATGCGCCGCGTTGACACTGCGCAGAAGGCGTTCACGTGCGCGTAAGACCTTTTACGACTGCGCATATGAGTGTGCGCAAGTGCAGAATACGTTTTAGCGTGCGCATTTTATGTATAATGGACGTATAAGCTAAAATTATCTAATTATCTATTTCAGTTAATGTTGATGATTACGTTGTTCCTTAATTTTCGAATTGCATCCGGCTTATTATTTTTTGCAGACTGTAAGAGCAATTTTATAAAGGTAAGCTTAAACTTTCGATTATATCAAATAGAAATTCCGATATATATTTGTTAATATGTAAAGGATCTAAAGCGAAAGTATGTTTTGAAATCCGAAATCTGTTTATCAATTTCACGCTGCTCGGCTCGGCGGCGTGCGCGTAATGAATTGGAAGTTGATTTGTCAGCACTATATCCTTATCTTCAGCGCAGATGTTTTTTTTTATTTGGCTTATAATTCCTTACTAAATGTTAGTATTTCATCTCGATATGCTCCGTCTTTGATATGATTTAAAAACAAGTTCCTCGTCATTATAATTCGCTTCCGATAGCGAAGAAACGTGACAGAGGTTATTGAAAACAAAAAAAATTTCGATTGACAAATTAGTCGGTGTTCTTGACACAGCAATTATAGGACTTGAACGGCGGAACTTTGTAACTGAACAAGAAATTATGTCTGTTTTTAATAGAATTAAAGAGAAAGTATTATCACATGAAACGAAGCAAAACTTAAACAACTTACATTGAAAGGAATGTTTAATAAAGTAAACAAATAAATATTAAGCTTTTTCTTTTTGCAAATTTTGATACCCTTTAGATCATAATTGTTCTTTATTTCATAAATTACGGTTTCATATTTTTAATTTTAGAATTTCTGCATGCCATCTTACGAGATTTAAACTGATGATCTATAATCCGAAAAAATCGATAATCCGGAATCGCCGAAGTCCCGACGAGTCCGGATTAACGACTTTTGACTGTATAGAACTGTGTCTCCCTTTTTTTTTGTGCAGTGTACATCAAAGCACATCTGAGCACAGAATTGTATTTCTTAATTGAAGCACACTGTCAATGTGCTGATTGTGATTATTGAGCAAAGCTAATCATGCTGGTTAATATTTCTGAACACATCGCTAGCAGAGAAACAGCATGGAAAAAATATGAAAAACTTTGAAAGTTCATGTTAAATGATAAAATCTAATGATGCTACAGACTATAAGAAAAGACTGTAATTTATGTTAACCAAGAAAACTTACTATACAATCTATCCTTACTTTCATATGCATTGCTGCTGGGGCCAAAATTGTGTTCACATTAACCGAGTTTTTGCCTTAAGCAAGTTCATGTTTTAAAAGGGTTTACTGTATTTTAAGTTTTTCAGTATTATGTTATTTTGTCTTCTTTCTATAATAATGTTAATATTTGATTGTTGCTAGTGCCTTGATGTCATGAATGAAGCAGCAAAAGAAAAAGAAACTTCAAATAATAAAAAAATTATCTTCAATTATCCATTGCTTAAAGTAAGTTTTAAAAACTCGCTTTTATCATATAATATTCCATAATTCTGAATTTGAAGCTGTCTCTATTAGCATTAAAAATAGTAAGAATGTTGCCTGAAATGTTACAGAAGTACTGTATTTTAAAAGCCACATTATATTGTTATGATTCATCCCTTTTATGTGAAAGGATTTTGATTTAGGCCTATAAATCCATTATGGCTAATAGTTGCTAGCCAAGGCCTTGTGGACTTATGACCCTCCGATTTCCCAGCTGTCTCATTTTTTGATGGAGAATATCCCAAGTGAAAGATCCAAAGATAGCCTACTTTTCTTCTAGCATAAGTCTTTTGAAGAGACTTTAAACTCTATTATAAGTCCTGCTATGCTACTAAAGCATTGTATATTACAAACTTTCATGTCTACTTCAGAGTTCAAATCTATGCTCACTGCCTTTGCTGGACCAAGTCAGTGTTGTCTTAAAGCATAGGCCATTAGCACATTTGCTGGAAGACCCTACGAGCTTAGGGGTTGCATACTAATCTGTTTATTTTTCATTTACATTTCATTTCTGTGAGTAGTTATCATAGGGATTCCAGCACACTAGTTTTCTATACTAATCAGGAAGTATCAGAGCCAAGTTACTGAGTGATTAAACAAAGTTTGCAACTGTCACATTATCTGCCCAACCAGCCTGCAAAATTGACAACCTAATAAATGAAAAACAGTAGCCAATTAAAAGAAATGGGAGGCACACTGAAAATTGCACAAAAGCGCAGTAAATAAACAAAATTAAAAATGCAAGAAATATCCATAACGAAGTAATGAAATTACATAAAAAATGACAATAAATTAAATTAAAAAAGTAAAAAACATCTATAATGGAAAACTGAAAATTACATTAAATAACATTGATAATAAAACACCAAAAATGTATAAAATAGCAATGAATTAACTAAATTGAAAACAAAACATCCATAATAAAATACGTAATTTTCATTTTTCCTGGTCTTCTGCTGTTTATAGTAATCTGTTCTACTACACATTAACATTTACACCATAAAAAAGTCGGAGAATTGCAGAATTCTCAGCATCACAGAGCAGCTTGGCACTGCACTCCTATGTAGACATTGACCTGTTTTAACCTAGTTATGGCAGCCATGCAGTAGCTTTGATTAGCAACAGATGATATTTTAAGAAGGAGCCGATTTTACTTGCATGGAAAACATTATGATTTTTACGATGCAACAGCATATTACTCCCGTACCAAGGGTGGTTAGTGATGCTGGTTACCATATTGTTAGGTTTGGATTTGAACCTAAAAAGAGGCATAAATTATTTTAGCTGTCTTCACTTTCTTATGTTTGTAATATTGGTTGTCTCCTAAGCAATATCATCAGTGAACAAATGACTAAATAGCTGATGATTTTGGCCATTTCCAATAAATGCTTAACTACCTAATGTTCAGGCGTTGAAAAAACAAAACAAGACTAAAGCATGTAATATATCATTTAACAATGTAAGCATCACATTTACATTTCCTACAATATAAAAAACATGCCACAATATGCAAAAAGCATATCAAATGAAATACTATGTAATCTATGTGTGCACTTCAGAGAAGTTGATGCACATCAAAGCAGTAGTCAGTTTCATACTGCTTGCATTCTATCAATATAAAATTTATATAAACTTCTAATACTATAAATACAACATTTATGTGAAGTTCTAATATTATAAATGTGGCCTCGAAGAGAGAAAAATAAGCTGCCCTGATTGGTGTAGTGGCTAGTGGTGACAATTACTGTACTCTTGCCAGGATTGGAATTCCAAATGATGCATACATATTTATAAATATATAGTTTTTGTGACATGTTAACATTTAAAATACTGTTGAGCTAAAAGCCCCTTTGAGAGATTAATGGTAGAGAAAGAGTGGCAGGTGGCCCTTTGATTTCACATATGGGATCTTTGCCTTCAAAAGTAAGAAGAGGTGGGTAGTCATACTTTTGTTTATGAATAAGATGCCAAAGGCCTTGGTTGATAATAGTACTCTGTTGTTCTTAATCATGATTAATTCATATACAGTCAAAAGTCGTTAATTCGGTAATTAATTATTAAGCTACAAACTTTCTGCGCGACGCATGCGCGTAAGACCTTTACGGCTGCGAATATGCGTGTGCGCATGCGCATAATACGTTTACGCATGCGCATTTAATGTATAACGGACGGTATAAGCTAAGCTAAAATTATCTAATTCAGTTAATGTTGCAGATTGCATTGTTCCTTAATCTTTGAATTGGATTCGGCTTATTATTTTTTGCAGACTGTTAGAGAGCAAATTTATAAAAAGTAAGCTTGAACTTTCGATTATGTCAAAAAGAATTTCCAATATATATTTACTAACATGTAAAGGATCTACAAAGCGAAAGTATGTTTCAAAGTCCATTAAACAAAAAGTGGAATTGCTGCAAAATTATGGATAAAGGCGTATCCTTCATTTCTCTAACCATTCCGAAATCTGTTTATCAATTTCACGCTGCCCTGGGGAAGGGGGGAACGCCGCGGCGCGCAATGAATTGGAAGTTGATCTGTCAGCACTAATTTTATCTTCAGGGCAGATGTTTTTATTTTATTTGGCTTATAATTCCTTACTAAATGTAGTATTTCATCTTGATGTACTCCGTCTTTGATATGATTTAAATCAAATTCCTCGTCATTGTAATTCGCTTCCAATAGTGAAGAAAGTGACACGGAGGTTATTGAAAACGAAAAAATTTCGATTGACATATTAGTCGGTATTCTCGACACAGCAATTATAGGACTTGAACAGCAGAACTCTGTAACTGAAGAAGAAATTGTGTCTGTTTATAGAATTAAAGAGAAAGTATTATCACATAAAACAAAGCAACTTAAACAACTTACATTGAAAGAAATGTTTAATAAAGTAAACAAATAAATATTTAAGCTTTTTTTTTTTTTTTTTTTTTTTTTTTTTTTTTGTAAATTTTGATACCCTTTAGATCATAATTGTTCTTTATTTCATAAATTACGGTTTCAGATTTTTAATTTTATAATTTCTGCATGCCATCTTACCAGATTTAAACTTATGATCTATAATCCGGAATCATTGAAGTCCCGATGAGTCCGGATTAACGACTTTTGACTGTACTTTATTTGAATAGATAGCTCTTACTTTTTGTTTTTAATTCTAATGTTCTGATCCTATAACTTAATTAGATGTATGGAATTTCTTATGGCCAAAAGGTTTTGCCTTATCATTGGCTTAGGCCTTGGACACTGTTTAGGTGAAAGTATAAATTTGGCCATCTCTGTCCCAATTTCGAAAGAGAATCTTCCAGAAGACAAATCTGAGCAACTTCTATCTCAAGAGGATTTCCAGATTAATAGTATTTTAAGTGCCCTTATGCTGTAAAGACACTGTACTTTTGTGAAAGTTTATTCCTTTACCAGGATTCAAACCAAGATTCAAAATCTTAGGATATGCCAGCTAGCTTCTCTACAATTTGTATGTACTGTGCATCAAATAGATACCTCAAAATTGGAGGGATAAATAAAGACCATTAACAGAAAAGTATCATTGAGAGTCAGATGTGATACAGAAATATATAAGTATACGGCAAATGGTCATCTTCCAAACTATATTACACAATAACATTTACACCATAAAAAATTCAATAGAGTTTGTAAAAATGGTTAAAAACATTTCTCCTGGAAATTTACTCATGGTTTCTTTTGATGTAAAATCGTTATTCACCAATGTTCCAGTGGAGAGTGCATTAAGATGTCTAGAAACCAGACGTGAATTACATTTCTTTTGCATCGAAATTGATGAGCTAATTTCTCTCACTCAACTCTGTTTGAAACAAATGCATTTTCTTTTCCAAAATAAATATTACAAGCAAACTGAGGGATTAGCCATGGGAAACCCCCTCAGTCCCATCCTGTCTGATATCTGCATGCATTATTATGAATCAAAATTTTTTGAAACTTTAAAACATCCCAGTATAGTTCCGCTACGTAGACAACACTTTGACCCTGTTTGAAGATAATAAAGATGATTTAAATAAAGTTCTTTCAACAATGAATTCCATTGATCCTGCTATTCAGTTCACTTTTGAACTTGGGGACTTGCAATTCTCTTCCGTTTCTCGATATTCTGGTCACACGTAACACATCCAACTTCAGTACTAAGGCTTACCGTAAACCTTCATCGGTTTGCCTTCCACCACACTTCAAATCATATCATCTGACTAAACAAAAGTTAGCTTCATTTTATTCCTATGTTTTCAGTGCTCTTCAAGTTTGCTCCTCCAAATTATCCCTTGATGAAGAACTAAATTATTTAAAAGAAATAGCTATTGACAGGGGCTTTTCACCCAACATTATTAATCAAGCAGTTAAAAAATTCTCATCTCAACACACCAAAACACACACTCTTTGTTTTAGGAGATTATAAAAATTCTGCTGTCATTCCCTGCTTTCCATCAATTAGCTATAAAGTTGCTTGTATTTTGCAGAAATTTAACTTTCGGGTCATTTATTCTCCCATCAATAAAATTCCGAGTTCCATACTCAAGGACCCCATTCCAGATGTGAATTCCTGGAGTATTTACAGGATTCCTTGCCAGTGTGGTTTAATTTACATTGGCCAAACTAAAAGAGCCTTAAATTTTTGCATCAAGGAACATGAGGCATATGTTAGAAAAAAGGAAACGCAGAAATCTTCTGTAGCCCAACATTGTTGGTCCGAAAACCACACTTTCAATTTTTCTGCTGCCAAAATTATTCATAAAACATCTTCCATTGGTGAACTGGATTTTCTAGAGGCATGTCACATTAAAAAAAAAAAAAAAAAAAAAAATCTTTCTGTTCTAGTTAACGACTGTAATACCAATCCATCTTTGCCTTCAACCCTTTAAGGAAATTATGTTTTAGTTCTGGTTTCATCAACAGATGGTGCCAGTAGCTTATCTCCTGTCTTAGGCTTTCTTATCTTATCATTATATTTTATCCCATTCATTTGCGCTTTTGCAGCTGAAGATGATGGTTCGGTAAAATCATTGAAACTAGTCCTGTGAAAATTTGAAAATGTAACACTGATTTTTGTTGTTTGACTTCTAAATTAATATTTGTTTGGTGTGTTATTGTATCTTAAATAAAACTTGTTAAATAAAGTGAATTTATACTAATATAAATAAACATGACAATGAAATAGTGCATGCTTATATGAAATTTCTCTAAATATTTTAATTCCTTTTTGTTTTAAGCATATATATATATTTTTAAAGAACCACAGAAGACCCATGGTGATGATTGTCATTAAGGAATATTTCTCAATAAACTATTACAATTAAAATAATCATTGAAGATTAATTAGAGAATTAATTCCATTTCTTTATGATTTGATTTCACAGGAGTCAGACATGTCAGAAGAAATGAAAAGTGATACCATGGATCTTTGTGTTACATCTTTTGAAAAATTTGGAGCAGATCATGAGGTGATAATTTATTTCCTAAAATTTGAGAAATTATGAATCATTATCATAATTTATCAAAATTTGCTTTCTCTTTATGAGAGAATAAAAGTATTAAAATTGTAGATCAAAGATAATAGATGCTGTATTAATCAGGGCTGTGAAGTCGGTAAGGAAAATGACAGACTCCTGGAATTTTAAAGTTTTCGACTTCCTGAGATATATGTATACCTATACACACGGATTGCAGCTTATTTTTTTAATATAAAAAAAGTAATAGATGCTATAGAAAAAAATTGATGACATAGAAAATTATTTATATTAATTAATATTTATTATGAAATAGAAAAACTGACATTAGTAATTTCTAAGAAACAGTATAGCTTTGGCAAGATCTTTGATAAAGACCATAGATCCAATTTGCTGAACTTGGAGCTGAGAAGAGTCTTTCCACACTGACTTGAGAAGGAGGAAGAGCTGTTACTGTTAGAGCTACTTCTTTTAACTTGTCAGGATAGATTTTTATAAGTTCTAAATGAAGTGTTTTGCGAGAGCAATCATATTTCTCTATTTCTTCAAATGCCGTATAGAAGTTTTGTTTGTATTTTTCGATTTGCCTAAGCCTTTTCAATATTATCCAAATATTTCTCAAAATCTAATTCATCACTGGAAGAGGATGATAGAGACTCAGTTGCAATGTCTTCAGTTTGACTATCCTGATTTGAATACTCCAATTGTTTTGAGAATAATTTCATTCTTAATGAAGTTCACAGATGGCTTTCTTTTGCCTTTTTAATTTGTTCATCATCCAACAAAATTCGGTGTTTTGGATCTACATATGTTGAACCTAGCAAGATCTCATTGTCTAGCAAACTAGTTTCTCTTTTCTTCATTGAAGAAAAGATTCCTTCTGCAATAAACCCTCCAGAAAGAACAAATGTCTCATTCTTCCATTCTCACCTCCTGATAATAATCCTGATCCTTCAGATTGTAACTTTTTTCTGGCTATATGCAGTGTACAAAGAAAAGTTTTCAATTCTGCAAGATCATTCCACAGTCTTTCCGTTAGTGAAACGTTAGGGTTATCTACATCTTCTAAAAAAGTTCTTAATTCAAACAATCTCTATGTAATCAAATATGTACTTCCCCATTGCATTGCTTGATCAATAATTGCTCCTTTTCCTGCTCGCTTCCTAAGAATGGCATCAACTTTGGGAGTTCTTGTTGCTAGTGCTGCTTGCTTACAGGAATCAGTTTAATCATAATGGCAAATATCACATCCATCCTCCTCCCTTATATTTATTTATTAATATGTCAATAAAATAGAAAATAACTATTTATTAATGTATATAGTCCATAAATAAAAATAATAATTGAGTTTGTCTTTAAATCTTTTTTCAATTCACTTTAATTTCATTTCAAATTCAAACTGTCTAATATAAACTGGAGTCAGAGTTGATGTGTTTTTAGCGACTCCAACTCCTTTTACCCAGAAATCTGCCTAACTCCGATTCCGACTCCGACTCCACAGGCCTAGTATTAATATGTATAATGTACATATAAAATTTTGATTAGCCAAACACAACAAAGCTTAACTAAAATAATACAGAAAAAGAATATTGATCTGAGTCTAAAAACCGTTTAATTGTTATTTTAATTACATCAAATTTTTACTATTCTGTAGAGATAACTAGTATATATTTTACGAGGTACCTTACAAAGGTCTAGGAATTTAGGTATATATTTTTTTATTTCATCAAGTTTCATCAGTATTACAGTGTGGTTTTTCAGTATGATCCCCATTTAAATTGAATACATTTATCTCAGTGAAAAACTAATTTAAGCCGTCTTCAAAAAAAATTTCTGGGTGTCTCCTCAATCTGTTTATTTATGACATGGTTAAACTCTCAAATAGAACAACTCAAAAAGGTTCTGCAAAATGTGTGAATAGAATAATCGTTGAACAACTTCTGAAGTTTTAACACCTCCTTCTACAAAGAACAATTGATCTTTGCATTTTCTATGGTTGACAAAACAGTGCTACAAAAATGACCAGTATCAGCAAACAGCTGAATTGAACTAAACAGTACTCCATGGAAAAGTTACATAAACATGTCAGGATTTGTCTCTGGCCAATAACGTTGTGTAGAAATGTTGTGTTGTTCTAGGAATTGAACTAGAGCTCAGTTCTTTGAATTTTGGGAACACCTTTCATATCTTCTTCTTCTTCCTTGACTTGACATCCCAGGGTGGGTTCTGGCCTTCTCCAGAAGTCTTCTCCAGACATCTCTGCTTTTGGCAACTGTTTTCTAGTTTCCTTTAGAATGTTTAGGTCATTTTCAGCACAATCAATCCATCTCACTAGGCATCTACCCTAAGATCTGGCTCCCATGGGCTTTGCGAGAAAGATTTTCCTACAACACCAATCTTCATGCTTTCTGGCCAGATGATCAGCCCATTAAAGTCTCCGTTGTTTGAAGAACTGTACTACATCAGGTTATCTAGAGATCTTATATAGCTTTAATTTAGTTAAATTCTCTCCATGATCCATTCACATGGACCCCACCAAGTATGTGATGTAAAATCCATCTCTCAAAATTCCTCAAATCTTCCTCACCCAAGCTTCTGATGCATAAGTCAGGGCAGATCGTTCAAGATTCTTGTAAAGAAGTAATTTAGTTCTTAATTTGAGAAAGCTGGGTTTTAAGTAGCTCTTCAAGCCAGGAAAATTCTATTTTCAGAAGTTATCTCATTTGTACAATTCATCTCTGCTCCCAGATAATTGAAACTGTAGGCATTTTCATATCTTTAACTACTAATTTCTGAATGACTAAGTGGTAAATCAACAAGGCTAATGCTTAGTTTAATTTTCATTAACAGATAGGTTAAATCTTTTTGCACTTTTTCCAGTGCCATGAATGCCTGTTTATGAGCAGGAACAGTTTGGGCAACAATGCAAATATTGTCTGCATAAGCCAGTAATTGAATGGTAGTATTAAAAACATTTCCTCTAGTATTGATCCTAGAATTTCTAATAACTTTTCAAATGTAATACTAAACAAGTGGCCTTGCCAATGCATCCCCGTTTTACTCCGTTCTCGACCTTAAATTGTTCTGTAAAGTCACCTTGTAAACGAATTTGTATCTTGTTTTTCTTATGAGTCAAAGCCACAAGTGCGACAAGTGTTTCTGGAATATTTAGTTCTCCCATGGCCTCTATAAGTAAGTCCCTATTATTGCAATAGTATGGAGTTCTGAAATCTATAAAAAAAATTATGTGTATTGATTTCAAATTTTCTGCATTTTTCAAAAATCTGCTCACTAACACCCTATAACAACTTGGCACACTACTTTTGCCTATTTTAAAAATGTTTAAATTTTTTATAGCTTTGCAGTAAGATAAAAGTGCTAGGCAGCAGTCCAGCTAGGGTGAAGTGCAGTTGTGTTCACGATGAAATCTTAATTTAGAAGGAGTTAGTTTTTGTTTCTCAATGTATTTGATTGGATAATTTAAAACTTATTATTGGCTGTTTGAGTTCACACTCCATTTTCATCATTAGCGTTATGTATAGAGTAGAGGATATGACATGGATTAGTCTCAAAATTATGGAGTGCAGAAAAATATTACTATTTTTAGAATAGAGAGGAAGAATACCAAATTAAGAATCAAGGGGCTATTGCTAATTTAAATTATAATTCATCCTTTATATAATTTTTTATCTCACATATATATAATATATATTGAGATTTTTCATTTGAAATGACAGAGTGAGATTTAAAATGTAGGAAATATATAATTTTTAATTACAGTTATGTTTCACATAGTTGTAATTAAAAAGATTTAATACAAGCATGTGTGTTAGTGGTCAGTTTATTGTTTTCTTGTACATCTTTCTTGAAAAGATTTAAATGGCTGGTAAAATATGAAAAAAAACGAAAATTTGTTATCCATCCTACGTAGCTTATTGGCAGTTTTATTTATTTTGTGTCATGAAAATTGTGATTATATTTATTAAATCAAAATATTACTTTAATACAGTTTTTCAATTTGATAACCTTACCTCCTTATAATAAATCATTTTTCTGTACTTACTTTTAATTTCTTCAAGCACTGCATAAATTCTCAAAGTTTACTGTTTCCACAATATCCATCTGCAAATTTTTAATGCAAAGTGCTTACTAAATAATGCAAAGTATAGTGCAAAAGATGCTCTGAAATTTTACTTCTTTTACATTATTTCTGAATTTTACCACTGCTTTATATTTTTACCAATATATCAGCTGCACCATCATTTACAAATTCAACCATTTTGTCCCAAATTAAGTTATATTTATTTGTTTCTGTTTTTAGTTTAGAAAAAATATCCAGCAATGATGTAGTTTGCTGTCTATCACTTTTAGTTGTTTATTTATTTTAAATGGCAGGATTAAAATTAGTTGTTTTAATCATTTCATTTTCCCACCATTTAATCACACATTCAAATTAAAAAAATATTTTAGTAATGCAGTCTGAGAAATAAATAACTAAACTAAAATGGTAGATCACATACTATATCATTTACAAATATTCTGCGCACCAGATTTTCTATTCATAATAATTATTTCTAATAATTCCTCAATTACCGTTAGTTTATGAGTAACACCTCGTTTGAAAACAGCAGGGTTCTTTAATTCTTTTATTAACTTTATTTCAGCAAGCTGAACTTTTAATAGCCAAGGCTTTTAAAACATCATGCACAAACATTATTCCAAACTATAGTATTGATATGATATACATCTAATAACTAGTGCAAATAAATAGTTTTTATAAAATATGCATTAATTGTCTCCATCTGTGTAGCATTGTGAACTTTTTAGCTATTCACCTAGTTAATCAGCTAGTGATTGACTCAAAGAAAGTACCAAATCAGTAGAAAGAAAAAACTCTGACAAAACTGAATACGGAAGCTCCACCAGCTGTCAGCTGAAGAACTAAATTTACTGATTGCACCAATATGGGAAATTCAGTTTTAGTCATGTGGCCTCTTATACAAGCATGCAGTGAAAAAGGCAAAGCCCTAACCTACTCTATCTTTTTTTTTTTTTTTTTTCTTCTCTCCTTCAATATAAGATGTGCATGTAAGTTCAGTCCATATCTCTAGATCTCTGTAAAATTATAAGCTCCTTATTTGCTACAAGTACATAATTGAAATGTATCCACGGCAACGTTGCTTTGAAGGCCTGTGTGTCATGAGTTTGAGCTAGACCTCAAGTTTTCAGAAATGACATGTTCTGGAATATCCTCATCAGCATAAAAATATTGACCGTATTTGCAGTACCACCATCTTGTTGAAAACAGGAGCAGATCATTTTATCGTCTACAAGTAAGCTGATAAAATCATGGTGTGTTGATTAGTAATGTTTTTATTCATTGTTTCTGGAAGGAGTAAAGGATCAGCCATGGGCTATCTAGATAGCACACTTATATTTTCAAGTTATGCAAGACTATTTTATATGCAGCATAAGGAATCACTAATGACCGTAATCATGTTTTAAGTACTAACATAACTTTAGATTCGAAACAGAGCCTCATCTGTAGAAAAAATGACATCAAAATAGTAATATCCAGGTAATTGGAAATTGCATCCAGCAGTTGCAGAGATATCACACATGTATGTATATATATATACAAAAAGAAACATAAAAATAGGCTACAAAATTTTTTTTTTTAAATTTTAACCTGTCCTTTGCTATAGTAGAATAAACTTAAAGCATCTAAATTTATTATTAAATTGGAATCAAAGCAAGGCAATTCCTCTATAATATTAGTAATTCCAACCATGTATAAGAAGTTTAACACAATTTTATTTCAATTGATTTTAACTAAGGTATGAAGATAATGAGGAAGCTAACCTACTTTACAGTTAGTCTTTTTGGAAGAAAAAATTAAAAAAATAAAAATTGCTCAATATTAAAGAGGAAAATCTTGCAAATTTACTAGGCATAAAACGACTAAAAACCTTAAAAGGAAACTTATATAACATATAAACCGAGTTATTTTCTAAATGCTGTGCTCTGTGTATACTATTAATGATACATTGGTTTAATTTTGATTAAATTAATAGTAAGTTATAGATAAAATAATCCAACAGTCTGTGATAATAGTATTTTGAGTAAATTTAGACTTATTAATAAATTACATCTGTTTATTTTGTCCAACATATTAACCATTCAGATTTTACTTATTTTCTTATTTATGCAAATGATCATATTGTTCTTCATTTTAAGTCAAATGCTTATTTAATTTATACATATATTCAATCTGAATCAGCTGAGTAAACAGAGTTTCAACTATTTATTTCCCTAAATTTTTATGATAATACGAACTATTTCCCTGATCAAACATAATAATTCATAATGAAATTAACTATAAATAACTGAATAATTTTTACTGCAAAGTATAATGCAATAATTGCAATTTATATGTTTACTACAAAATACAGTATACATATTTCGCTCTTATCATTTAATTACTGTGAAACAAATGAAAGAAATACAGATAGGAAATATGTATCTAAATCATTCAAAAGTTACATAATGGCTTAAAAAATCAGAATCTAGATAAATATTTCATTTAGCAAAAGGAATTAAATTACAACTGTACATCATTCATAATAAATATTATTCATTTGGTATTTTGGTACTTACATGCTATTTTGTCAACCATGAAACTGTTGCCAAACAGCTCAATTTTACACTAGCTAGGGGTAACTTGCACACTCATAACATTTGTGTTTTCATTTGATGTAACCCCTATTAATTCTCAAGAATATTTTATTTTTATGAAAAGGATATAAGTAAATTGTTATTTCTATATTTTTGTCCCTCTTATTCTTTTTTTGGGGGGAGGGACAAGTTTGAGAGCTATAGAATCACATTTGTGATTGTATTATAGTTTATTTACAGCTGTTCTAAACAATTAATGTTTTTTGAATGGGAAAAAGAATGACTAGATAGGGCAGAAAAATTAGTACAGTACAAAGTCTGTAATCCGGATGTCCATTATCCGGAATGATCTATAATCCGGACCTCAAAGCCATAAACTTTCCTTTTTTTTTTTTTTTTTTTTGTATGCTTTACGCATGCGCATAAAGAATGCTCATTCATTACCCGCCTATGCTTTACGCATCTGCGCATTGAAAGAAATGTTTAATAAAGTAAACAAATAAATATTAAGCTTTTTTTTTTGTAAAATTTGATACCCTTTAGATCATAATTGCTCCTTTATTTCATAAATTATGGTTTCATATTTTTAATTGTATATTTTCTGCATGCCATCTTACCAGATTTAAATTGATGATCTATAATCCGGAATCGCCAAAGTCCCAACGAGTCCAGATTACGGACTTTGTACTGTAATAGATTGGAACAATCACATGTGTGATGTTTGTACTCCTAGTGTTCTAAATAGCTTCCAGTAAAATTGGAGGGCCTGACAAAATAGTAAAAATTAGTGAAAATCTTTTTACGAGCCACAAAAATGAAGCGGGTCAAAAACTTCTAAAGCAGTGGTTATTGTGCAGAGAGACTGGTGAATGTTTTATTTTAAGAGTTGCAGATAGAAGTGTGGCTCAGAATGATTGGTGCAACTTTGGTGGAATTTCTGTCAACTTTCACAATGAGTGGGATAATGTGTAAGTAACTTGTATTTCAAGATACAGCTGAAGAATTTTCAATTATACTTGACTGAAAAAAGTACTTAATAAATATAATTATTTATTATAATAACAGCCATACACTTTATGACTTAATTATGCTATTCATCTTTAAAGAACAGTTAACATTTCTTAAGAAAGGGATAGTAGTATAGAAACATTTCTGAAAAAATGATGGAAAATAAGAGCTATGGATTGATAAAATTGTATCAAATATTACTCGATAAAATATTTTCTGCAAATAAATAAAGTATAACAATAACTCTATATTTGCTTTTTTTTTTAAGAAGAATAGCTTTTCTATGTTATATACCTCTTAAAACATTTATTATATGAGAGAACTGAAAAGATACTCTCCTCTCTTTTTTAACTTTCAAGACTTTTAGAAAAGTTTTGATTTTTCTTGACATAACTGAAAAAAGTTCGTTTTACCTTCTTTTCTCTGACCATTTTTCATTTCTGAAACTTGACAGGTGAGTGAGAACTCTGATGCAATAGATTAAATCCTGTGCTGGAGTTCAACTTTTAATAAACAGATAATATTGCCTGTATTCACTGCATATTCATAAATCACATGAGCATATTTTAACCATCTGTGAATGACAATATGAGTAATTTAAAATGATCATGTAATTTTCATTTTTTATTAATTAGCTTTTTTTAATTTGATTATCAAAATGTTTCAGTAAAATAAATTTGATAGGAATTTTATAAAATAACAGAAGCAAATTCTTAATTTTTCTTAAAACTCTTTGAATTCTAGAATATATAAGTTGGATTGTCATTGTTAAGTAATAAATTGATTTTACTAAAAAATTAATTATTTTTTTAATTTTCTTATAATTGTATAGTATTGTTGTATTTTATGCATGTTTATTGTATTATTAAGAAGAGGAAATATTTCAAATTTTATTGCATTAATACAGTAAAGTTGAGATTAACAGTAATGTACCTGAAGTGAAAAATAATAGCATTAATTAATTTGTTAATTTTACCATATTGTTCAAAACATATGAAATAACATAATCTATGTTATCAAGATTCCGAATTTAGTCTGCTTTAAAAAAAATTCTTGCATTAAAGCTAAATTATGAAATATATAGTAAAATATCCATGAAATATATATTATTATTACAAAGTGCAATATTCTTATGTCAAAAATAAATTTTTGTATGATCAAAGTCGAATGTTAATTTTTTTTTCCTCCTCTCCCAAACTATTTATAGAAGGTTGCAAAATTTATCAAAGAAACTTTAGACCAGAAGTATGGATCACCATGGCATGTTGTTGTTGGTGAAGCATTTGGATTTCAAATATCTCATGATGCAAAACATTTAATGTATATGTTTTTGGCAGGCAACAAAGCAATATGTGTATGGAAATGTTCTTGAGAATATATTTAAAATTAGAAAATTGCTTATGTATTTACTTCTGTATTATTATTATTATTTATATTAGAACATATATTTTTTATGTATATAAATTGATAATATAATTGTATTGAATATAAATTATACTTTTTGCAGTCTTCACTCAAATACATTTCTTACATTGTGTCATTTTCTTTTTTTGTTACATATTTCATTTATTAAAGAATTAAAACTAGATCTCTTTTTATAAATTTTGTGATCATATTTCAGTGATAAAAATATATGCTTTATGTATTTTAACATAAAAATTTTAACATAATTCATGTCAATGTAACAAAGTTCTGAAAAATTTTATCAAACAGCATAGATAACTGCATAATGTTACATACAAGTTTTCGTGTAGCTTTTATTTTCACAACTACAGTCAAAAGTCATTAATTCGGACCTCAAAGCTAAAAACTTTCTGCGCATGCGCCGTGTTGACACATGCACATAGGCGTTTACGCGTAAGACCTTTACGATTGCGCATATACGTGTGCGCAAGCGCAAAATACGTTTTCGCGTGCACGTTTTATGTATAACGGACAGTATAAGCTAAAATTATCTAATTATCTATTTCAGTTAATGTTGATGATTGTGTTGTTCCTTAATCTTCGAGTTGGATTCGGCTTATTATTTTTTGCAGACTGTAAGAGCAATTTTATAAAAGTAAACTTGAACTTTCGATTATGTCAAATAGAATTTCCAATGCTGGAGCTCTCAAAGGATCTACAAAACGAAAGTATGTTTCAATGTCCATCAAACAAAAAGTGGAATTGCTGCAAAAAAATGGATAAAGACATGAAGAAGGTGACAGAGAGGTTAGTGAAAACGAAAAAATTTCGATTGACAAGTTAGTGGGTATTCTCGGCATAGCAATTACGGGACTTGAACAGCGGAACTTTGGATCATAATTGTTCTTTATTTCATAAATTACGGTTTCATATTTTTAATTTTAGAATTTCTGCATGCCATCTTATGAGATTTAAACTGATGATCTATAATCTGGAAAAATCGATAATCCGGAATAGTTTGAAGTCCCGACGAGTCCGGATTAACGACTTTTGACTGTATTTCATTTTCATACAAATGTTAACATCTGGGTTAATTTTGTGATTATTTTTTATTTCGCTTCAAAATATAAGATCCAGAAAGATATGGTGAACAAACAGCATATCAAGATTGCAGCATACCAGAAGTTAATCAACAAAGCATGCTAATGCTCTCTCTTAAGGGAAAGGATGCTTTTGTAAAGAACTCTCTTAAGAGAAACTAGCTTGTCTTCATACTACACACAGAGAAAACAAATTCACTCATAGGCAGCCCATTCACCAGGATTTAAATATGGGTCAAACTACTTGTGTTCACTGGTCTTACCTACTCAGCTGCTGATGGGCATGAGGATATACTTTATCATTATAAATCAGAGTGAGAGTCATTATAACCTTGAAGTGCATATTTTAAATAAAACTGTAGTGCCAGTGAGATGCAAGTAGATCCAAATAAATTATTTTAATATTATATTTGCATCCCATGATTAAACACACAATGATTAAATCAACAAAAATGGAAAAGTAAAGCTTTGATTGATGGCACATGAAGATAACAAATATGTGTATGCCTGAAAGTAAACAAGGATTATGCATTTTAAAAAAGTATTTAAGTCATAAATTATATCATAATGTCACATTTGAATCATAATTGATGTTTAAACCTAAAAACAAAACTTATATTAATGTACTGGTGATCAGAAATGAGAATTCTTGTTTTCTGTCAGCAATGTGTTAATAAGCTACGTGATCATTCCAGATCTATACACAAACTTTAAAGTGATTGCTCGTGCTTTTAACGTGGTGATCTGTTATCATGGATATTAAGAACAGCCATTCCTGCATTAGTATGGGTCTAAAGGTTTTTCATAGAGATTAAGATAAGAGGAATGTGACAGCCACTCCATACAAGAAATGAAGATTCGGTTCTATAACTACGTAGAATTGGAAGGAATATGCAGGTAAACAATTTATATAAATGCACATTTCTCAGGTGATAAATTAGTGAAATAAAGAGAAGAAAATGTCAGATGAATCAACAGTTAATACTCTGTTGTTATAGAAAATCTGTTTTTGAAGCTTTTTTTATCTCAAAAGATACATGTAACTGAAGAGGAACCTGGCTGACAACACAATAGTTCTCAAGGTCCATTTTAGGCCTACAAACGGCTACTTTGCCCTTCTACTGTTTTGCAACTCCATGTATATCCATAGCGGAAAGAATTTGGAGAAGATGGATTGAAGGAGGGAGTGTGAATCCTGCTAGAATATTGGTGCATTTAGATGAGTGTCAACATATTTGGATCAACGCATCCAAAGGCATGACTCGGCAACCAAATCAATCCAAAAGCACATTTGTCAACACTATACAGAATGCGCAGGGAGGTTTGGATGCTCCATTATTAGTGCTCCTGGTTTTATCATTGAGGTCAAGGTTCATTTGTAGAAAAAGTACAGATAATTATAAGTGTATGGAGTCTGTGCTGCATGAAGTGTGTGATGATCCCAAGGTATCAGGATTACTTGTGTAACTTTCAATATTTTATTGCTTGCTCATGTCACCATCTTTTAACACTGCTGGGAAGTGCAGCATATGAGTATTTATCCCTCGATGGTGGTAACTAACCTTGGGGTTAGGCAGTCAGTCTGTTTGTAGTAAGCTAAATACCGAACTATTCGCAAAAAAATTTCTGTCTAAGAGTTTCCGATATTTGAACTGTTTCAAGGTGCGAGCATGTGTCTGGCCCTCAGCAAGGCCAGTGCTAGACATTTTGCCACCACATGCAAACGTCACAACTTCAAAATTCTGCTGCAATAGTTGCATGTGCTTTGGCATTGCTACAGGGCATATCAACTACACAGCGAGCCAAAAGTCGTCTCAGGTAATTGGTGCTAGGAAAAGAGGAGTGGCTGACCCTCTGGGTATTCTTCAAAACTGAGGCGAAGCTGAATGGCTGTACTAGCAATGGTGAGTAACAGTGTCCCACCCCACTTAACCTGTAACAAAATACTGTTTTCTGGCAAGATGATGTGACACTGCATGCAGTATTGATGATACATGGATGTGACATCCATCCATGTATTGGGACACAATCTGCATGCTGATCCCTCTCCTCCATCTGTATGTCAAATGGTTTCTTCTTATATTGCTGCAAGAGGTGGTCTTTCTTTGTGCCAATTGCCCTATGTATTTGATTGCTGTATTGTGTAACATTTTTAAAATTAAAATCACTTACTTATATATGCATTCTGTCTCCCAATTTTCATCATATTCTATTCATTGTTTGAAGGTGTTGCATTTTCCTGTCAGACAATAATATAAAACAAAAACTTATTTTGAAGAACTTGGAATTTTATTTCGATTTGATTTAGATGGTTGCAACCCATACCGGGGTGATCTCACTGCTCCTATTTGTTTCAAATTTCTTTTATTTTATTTATTTCAACTTCTAGTTTACTTTTTTTTTTTTTTTTTTGTCTCTGCAATTGAATATTTTGTAAATATCAAATTTTTCATGATTTTCGCATACTCGTCTCAACAGCCAATCAGAAGACCTCTACTAAGAGATATCTTTGACTGCTTCAGCTGGACTCCCTGCCTACTTTTACTTTGTAGATACGTATTTTATTTTTGTATATAGTTTTTCTAATTGTGAAAAAATGCACTTCGATGAGTTTATGCACTGAATATTTGTAAAAATGCACACTGTTCCTGAACTTCGACCAGCATCTCTCCAGCCTACTAGATGCCGCTATAGCCTCACATGACAAAATAGTCACGCCCTCTTTCAATTTGCATCCTGTCCTCCGGACATACTCATGCATTTGCTATCAGTGTATTTATTAATTCATGACAACCTGTATACAGCTTGCTATCTGCAAGCTACACACGGCAGTAGTGAGAAAAGGAAAGGAAAGACCGGGGTGGTATACAGAAATATCTAGGACACAAATAAATGACAGTTTGTTCTCCATTTAAGCTTAGATCAAGTAGAGGGCTACAAAGGCTTTATAAATGGTAATTGCTTTGTGTTACATAAATCCCAATTTCTTTGTAATTATCTTATTATTCAAAATACAGTCTCAAAACAATAAATAGATATTATTTTGGATATAAACTATGGATAAGAGAATGTTTTGTTAGTTGACATATGATCCATGGGTGTTGTAAGCTAGAACAAAGGAAAATGCGTGGAACTAGAAATTATATATATATATTTTGGGAAAAAAAAACTTATTTTGTACAAGTTATAAAAATGAATTAAAAGTACAATTTCTAAGATACAAATGAGTTTTAATATGATGCATCTTTTCTCTCAATTAAAAGCAATGATAATGACTTATGAGGCATGGAGGGCCTGAGGTATTCTCTCACTTCTGTAGAAGAGAGGTTTTGGGCTGTTGAACTGTTTTTGGAAATGATAAGCAACCCTTCTCCTTAAAATGTTCCAAACATGTTTGAAGGATTTATATCTAGGAAACATACTGATCAACCTATTCAAAGGAATCCTTCATTGAAAAGGAAGTTGCATATTAGCCAAGCACAATATGGCATGTCATTATTCTGATTATACACAGGCATTCATAGAGGTACTGGCTCAGACCAACAATCCGCTTCCTACAAATTCCAACTGCCACATTCTCTTCAAATGTTAAGCTGTCTATTTGTTAGGTTGTATACTTAAGAGTGGAACTCATCTGAAAAGATCCATTCAGTCTCTATTTGAGGTGCTCATGTGCCCACTTTCTGCAGGTATCACAGTGGTCTGTTCTTAAAGAAATACAAACTAATGGTCTCAAGCATGTGAACTCAAACTATGGAGTTCATTTCAAACAGTTAGAAATGAACTTTAGGCGGCAATAGCACTCAGATGTTGTTTCAAAAAAGTGGCATTCAAACAGTAGTTTTCTCTCGCCATTGGTGTGAAATACATTACTTGCATAGCATCTCCTTTTTCTAAAAGTTAATTCCCTAAAATACAAATGAAACTTTAGGTATTCACAAAATGGGTTTCATTTGGTCAACTCTAAAGAACAGATGGCTGTCAAACT